TGAGGGTAGGTAAGGGAAAAAAAAAGTAAAAGAAAAAAAAAAAAGAAAAAGTCTTCTTATCGAGACTCCCCAGCATTATCGCGTGGATGAAGGAACAGTAGGTAATTGCTCTTATAGCCTGATAAACAAATAATTTCCTTCGAGCAACACGCGCGATAATATAAATAAAATGTTACCTTCTTGCCGGTGTTCCTATTTTCTTCTTTCGTTTTTCTTTTTTCCTTATATCTATCGCGTTCGCGATCTATATCGATATTTATGTTCTATTTTTTTTTTCTTTTTTTTTTTTTTTGGTTTCTTTTTCTCAACATAAATTTTTTAAAGAAATTGTATAAAAAATTTATTAATGATTAAAATTGATATATGCATGCAAAAAGCTCATAAAAAGAGAAAATCAAAGTCAAAACGATATGAAATAAAAAAAAAAAAAAAAAAAGAAAAAAAAATAGGATTGACGAGAAGAAATAGAAAAAGAAAAGAGAAAAAGATAAATTTCGAAGTAATTAATACGAATTTGAATATCGATGATGATAAACTTAAATGAATGTATAGATCTTTGGAAAAAAAAAAAAAGAAGTATCGATGATAGAGAACTATATACGGAAAAATTCGAAATGATACAGGTAGAGAAATTATGGATATATTTCGAGAGATGGGCCAATACCGCAACATACATAAGTACATAGGCAGGTGCTCTTCCAGCAGGGAAGCCGGTCAATGGCTCTCCCAAGAACGTCCGTCACTTTTTACATGGAAACCAGTAAAGAATGCCGACTAATTTCGAAGTTAGCTCCATTACCATGGAAGAACAACGAAAAATGGATTCGTCCTATTCTATCTAATCTAATCCTTACCAAATCCTTTTCTCCACTACGTCTATAATTTTTCTAATCGTCTTTTCATCGCTATTACTTTTTCATTCATCCTTATTCTACATAAATATCTATAGACGTAAGATATAAGATATTATAAATCGTACATAGTTACAAATAAAGACGAAAATATCCCTGATCAAGTTATTTAACGATCATAGGAAAAAAACAAGAAAAAAAAAAAAAGAAAAAACAACAGAAAAGAAAAAGAAAAGAAAAAGAGAATGAATCAAATTTTCGCACCTTTCGTGGTTATTCAAGTTGATTCGTAAAGGGTCGAAAGAAGTTTGACAGAGACGTCGGATGTGGTTTGCCACAAGCTTTAGCCATATAGTCACCCTTACGTTTTAGCGGGTTAGCACCCTCACCGCTTGTCAGTCGTCCGTTGTGGCAACCCTCCTACTGTACGTCTCGATGACGGTCAGCTGCTTACCTCAAACGTTCGAACGCTTGAACGCCTACGATTTCCTTGCTTTATTTTCCTCTTTTACCGATCTAAATGCCCTCTCTATTCTCCCTCTCTCCCTCTCTCTCTCTCTCTCTCTCTCTCTCTCTCTCTCTCTCTTCGTCTCTGTCTTTCTCTGTTCACTTTCATAAAAAAAATCTGTAGACATAATTTCAAAAAGAGAAAGACAAGAAAAAAGACAAGAGAATTACGATTTCGACGAAAGATCTTCATACAAAAAAGTAAAATCTCTTATGTTCGATATTGTTTCCTACATCGTCCAACGGTCGTCGAAGCCTTCCCTCGGGTCCAGTCTCGTGAGTCGACGAAGCAGGACGATGGCTCTTCTTCGACGCGCTATGAATCTCATTCGCTACACTGTCGGACCGTTTCGACACGCATCCATGCTCACGGTGGGCACGACTCACGCGCGCAAGAACCTCTCTCTCTCTCTCTCTCTCTCCGTACGCTTCACAAATTCACACTGGATTTATCGATGTCCATCCAAGTTCAGAGGACATTACCAGATACCTATTCGTTCTTTTCTTTTCTATATTTTCTTCTCCTTCTCTCTCTCTCTCTCTCTCTCTCTCTTCTCTCTCTCTTTATATGTTTCATCGTTTCCTTTCTTAAGGATCAAATCATAACGATAATTAATCCCAAGAATGAATAATTTTGTTCTTTAATCTGAACATAATCTTTATGTAACATATACCCATAACGAGGCAACCGATGATAAGTTCGGCGTCTCGAAATATCCATTCCGATCGTTCTTGGAAATAACGAAGAGAGGAAAGTCTCCTCGATGATTTTAATTTATGCGCGGCATAGCTGGAGGCGTTATTAGTCCTAGGTGGTTATACGATGGGCGTGACGTCACGCGGCTAAAACAAAGGATCCTGCCGAGGAGCCCATCCCATGTCGGCTCTCTTTCAACCGTGCCGACAGGACGGCACGAACCATTGGATCTTTTCTGCATCAGCGAAGGTTCGATGTTTTACGCTTCGCAAAGTTTCCTGCCCTTAAAGCGCTGCTTTTCACTCTTCCATGTCTCTCTCTTTCTCTCTCTCTCTCTCTCTCTCTCTTTCTATTTCTTTTTCGACTATTCCGTCCATTAAAATAGATGAAACTTCTTTTCTTTTTTTTTTTCTTTTTTTTTCCGTATAAACCGACGTTACGTAAGAAAATTGATAAAATTTAAGATTTCATATCATTCACTGGAGACTCGTTTACGACTTACGTTTTATAAACGAGACGTAAAAGCTGTTTAATATGAGAAGACAGGAGAAATTAGAAAGCGCTATAAAACCATTAATGTCTAACTACGAAAGGAAGTCTTAAGAGTATGCATAGGTTAAAACGAAGCTTCGTTTTAACTTATTCCGCTAATTACAGAGAACTTGACCTTTAACCTAAAATCAAGTCTGAAAGAGATATATACACATACGCGTATATACATACACACACACACACACACACACACATATATATATCTCATCGTCGTAGTCTATATCATTTATCTCTAATCTACGATATCTATTTTGCTATTTCTATCGTTAATTAATTAATGATATTACTTTCTAACGTATCAATTCGAACGCTTAGATCAAATTAATCTAAATATTATATTAATCTTCTCCTTACTCGTTTGACAATTTCTTTCTTTCATTCTTTCTTTCTTTTTTTCATTCTTGGAGAAAGGGAGGAGAGGGGGGGGGGAAGAGATAAAAGATAAAGAAGAAAAAGGAAAACAGAAACAAAAGGATGAAAAAAAGAAAGGAGAGAGGATAAAGAAGAAATTTTGAAAGTTAATTGAGAGATGCCGTTGTCTCCGTAGGCCACTGTCACATTGTTCCGACGGATCAATACCTCTAGTCTACCTACAACCTGCACCCACCGAGCTTGAAGAGGGCGTGGCTCGTACACCACCAGAGAGATGCTCCCACTCACTCTCTCTCTCTCTCTCTCTCTCTCTCTCTCTCTCTCTCACTCTCTCTCTCTTTCTCTTGTCGTCCTCTCCCTCTTTCCCATTAGCTTCCTCTAGGCACGCGGAAAAAGCACGAAGAGAGGTTAGAGAGATAGGGAGCGAGCAAAAGGGAGGGATGTAGAGATGTAGGAAGGGATGATTTTGTCTTCCACCCTTGGAGAATTACTCTCACAGCGATTTCAAACGACGAATCTCATTGGATCTTCATAAAATGTTTTTCTCTTACCCTTCCGAACGCATTCCTATTCGTCGATGTATTATTAGAACACACATGTACCTTACCTATCTACCTATCTCTAGTTACCTTCTGTCTCAATTAAGGATGATGACGAGCGGAAATACAACAGCAACATGTCAAAATCTTATCATTGGTCTGACCCCTATCTCCCGTAAAAATGGCCTTGACATCCAATGAAAATAAGAATAATCGAAATAGTCTATAGTTATCATCAATTCGATCGGTAATATAGATTATCCATATCGAAGTTAACAAACCTTTCTTGGGTGGGTGAACCCTGCTAGGACACCAGGGTAACTACGAAACGATCCATTTTCTATGCTATGGTCCGAGTTCTCTTTCTCTCATTCTCTTTCTCCCTTTTCCACCACGATTCTAGATGGATACGCGTATTCGTTGTCTTTCGTCGTCGGTGTTGGTGCAAGGTCGAACGGTGTGGGGGCGTGTCGCCTCGATGGCGCCGGCTGCTAATGGCCGCGCGGCCTGCCAGACTTTAATTTCCTGCCGCTTCCGCGGACCCTTTGCCTTTACCTCTTCTCTCTCTCTCTCTTTCTTTTCTCTCTTTCCCCCATCTCTCTCTCTCTCTCTCTCTCTCTCTCTCTCTCTATCTATCTCTCTCTATCTCTCTCTTCTCTATATCCAAATCTACGGCCAGTGGGAACCCTTTCCAGCCTCCGGCCTTTCGGTAGCCACTGACGGACCATGCTGCGTCCTTCGACCCCACTGTTCTTCTTCTCCTCGCCGTAGGATGATTTGCATGAAACTGCTCTTGATGAGCTTCCTCGATTCGCCCCGGAGGTTCATTATCTAAAGTCTGCTTATTCCATGCTAACCGGCGTGGTCCTTTCCGACGACCGAGCGTAGTCCATCTTTTCAAGTTCGTCGCATAGGACTAATGAGAGAGAGAGAAAGAGAGAGAGGGGAAAAAGAGAGAGAAAGAGAGATAGAGAGAGAGAGAGAACCCGCAGACGTGTTCCATTTCTGAACAAGGGATAGAAATAATCACTTGAAAATCGAGCTCTGATATTAATTGACTTGTCAGGTCTACCAGTTATAACGTACTGCTGTATATGTAGATATAAGATGGATGAAGATGTTAAAGTCTTGATCAAGGACATTAGATTCGTATGAAGCTTATATGACAATGATTTGCATAAAAGTGCAAGGTATACGATAATCGTGATCATTCTTAAGTCGAATTATGTTATCGTTAGCGGCAACTTTCTGATCTTTTCCTAGCATAGAAGGGCCAATTTTGTGTCATTATATACCCTCCGGTATAAGAGATACTCTCTCGAAACTCGACTTCTTTTTTAAGTCGATTTAGAAAAGATTATGGTCGAAGACGGCGGACCGACGCGACTGGTCTCGAGTAACTAATTCGTAAAGAATCGAAGGAGAGGTCGATTATATTTAACGTTGTCTAACGTTGCCTTTCTTTTTCTACGATCGTTGCAGGATCATCCGGGACTACGAGGAACGCCATTGGCAATGTTGGCGGCACAATGCAACAAACTGAGCAGCAAGAGTCCACCGCCACTGGCGGACGCGGCAGTTGGCAAAGGTTTTCATCCTTGGAAAAAGAGTCCTCAGAGTAGCGGCAGCTCACCGCAACATTCGACGGGTGGTGGCGGAGGAGGAGGAGGAGGAGGCGGAGGAGGAGGAGGTGGCGGAGGCGGAGGTGGAGGTGGTGGAGGGGGGTGTACGACGACGGGAGTAAGTCAAAGACCGACAGCAACGAGCAGCGCCGGTAGTACGAGCGGTGGTTACGCCCGAGCACCGGTCACTTCTTGCGCTTCAACGGCGCCACAATACGGTAGCGAGCTATATTTTCCTGGTACCGCGAGCGCGCAACCTGCTGGCGATCCGCATCACCATCAAAGCAGTCTCCTTGGAAAGGTCGAAGGCGCGACACTCGGCTCGGTATACGGTAGACACCCTTACGAGTCGTGGCCGTTCAACGCGATGCCAGGCGCTACGCACGGCGGAATAAAGGCCAGCGACGGTTGGTGGGATGTTCACGGTGCCACAGCCGCTGGTGGTTGGTTAGATGTTAGTGGCACCGTCGGCGTCGGAGTTCATGCCGCACAAATGGCCAATTACTCGGCAGATTACTCTACGAGCTTAGCACTGGCTGGCAATCACTTACTCACTACGGCCACCACCGCCGGTCACAATCTACTCCAAGACACATACAAATCCATGCTACCCGGCGGACCGCCCGGCTTCGGGCTCCATCATCACGCGGCGGCGGCGAGCGCCGGTGCCGGTGCTGGTGCCGGAAGTCCACAAGGTAGCGGCGCCGGCGTCGGCGTAGGTGTCGGCGGTGCCGCCGTTAGCCAAGCACCCTCGCCACGCTCGCAGAGACGTTACACCGGTCGTGCGACCTGCGACTGTCCTAATTGTCAAGAGGCCGAGAGACTCGGTCCCGCCGGCGTACACCTCAGGAAGAAGAACATCCATAGCTGCCACATACCTGGTTGCGGCAAGGTCTACGGAAAGACGTCCCATCTGAAGGCCCACTTACGGTGGCACACTGGTGAGCGACCGTTTGTTTGCAACTGGCTTTTCTGTGGCAAGCGGTTCACACGTTCGGATGAGTTGCAGCGGCACCTTCGAACCCACACCGGCGAAAAGAGATTCGCCTGCCCGGTCTGCAACAAGCGGTTCATGCGCAGCGACCATCTCGCGAAGCACGTCAAGACCCACAGCAGCAGCAGCAGCGGCAGCAAGGGCAAGGGGGGAGCGGGGAGCTCGTCGGCCGAGTCCTGCTCCGACAGCGAGGACAACGGGAGTCAGCAGAGTCCCACTTCCAGCTCGGTGCCGCCGCCGCAGCCGCCACCGCCGCAGCAGCAGCAGCAGCAGCAGCAGCAGGCTCAGGCGCAACAGCAGGCTCAGCAGCAAGCGCTGGCGGCGGCAGCGGCGGCCCAGGACACCAACAACACCAATTCCCAGACCACCACCACCAGTCTCGGCCATCAGCCGACAACACCCATGACCCCAATACAGATGACCCCGCCGCCTCTGACCGCACACCATCCCCACCACCCGCATCTCCCGCCTCTAATGCACCATCCGCATCATCACGCAACATCCGTACCGGCGGCCCATCATCCGCACGCGGGGATGAGCATGCACTGAGCCCGGTGGGGCCCGGAGCCGGTGCCTGCAGTACCTCTGCCGCAACGACCCTGGGCTCCTCCTCCTCCCTATCCTACCCCCTCAACTTAAACCTTCTTCAGAATCACGTTAATGCCCATCCTCATCATCATCAACATCATCACCAACAACAGCAACAACATCATCACTCTAATCCTTCTTCCCATCATCATCATCAACATCACCAACACCACAATCAACAACAACAACAACAACAACAACACTCTCGACAAAACAATTCCTATTCGATACAACAGAATCCTGGTACACCTGGCTCGGCACAGACTCCTTCACCCTCCTCACCTGCGCCTGTACATAGTCTTTAAGCCGATGACGATCCCTCTCAATCCTTTCGTTTCCTCGGAGAGCAGGAACGGAGGGAGCAGCCTGCCGCCTCTCCTTCGGCCGCTCTGCACGCGAATTTTGCCGACTTTGTTACTTGTAAATACTATAAATAGTGAGTGTGCGTGTGCGTAAGAAAGACAGAGAGAAAGATAACGCGTGCGAAAGAGCAAAAGAGAGAAAGAGACAGAGATAGAGAGATCTATATATATATATATATATAATATATATATATATATATATATATATATATATAAAATGATATATTAATTATGCGGTGTAATGTAAAATAGATATACATATATGTATGTAGGTATGCACTGTCGCGCTGTACGATACACACAGACACGAATCGTCGTCGTCGTCGTTCCCTTCTCCCCCAGTCATCATCCTGTTTACACTTTGCCCGATTGTACGGCAAAGAAAAAGATAAAGGAAAAATAAAAAAAAAGAAAAAAGCAAAAAAAAGAAAACGAGAAAAAGAGGACGCACGCGCGCATGGGCGACGTTCGGTCCAAAGCACGATGCACTCCGGACAAGTTCCAATCGCGGTACCACCAATATTGGTACCACCAAGGATAATTAACGAATTTTCTTGTTAAACCTATCATTTTGTTGTAGAAGCGAACTCCCGAAGGTCTTGCGTTTGGAACTTGAACTCGGACGATGCCCCATATCAGCTCACCACCCTTTCAACGTAATAAACATACTATTATTAATGAATTAATTATTATCATTAATGTATTATTATTATTATTATTATTATTATTATTATTATTATTGATATTAATATTATTAATATTATTATTAATATAATTATTATAATTATTATTATTATTATTATTATTATTATTATTATTATTATTATTATTCTTATTAATATTATTATTAATATTATTATTAATATTATTATTATTATTATTATTATTATTATTATAAAGATTATAAATTCATTTTAAAGAGATAAAGAGGAAATAAATAATGCTTTTGTGAGTAAACAGAATGTTTCTTCGTATAATATCATCTCACTTTTATTATATTTTTTTTTTTGTTCCCTTAAGCAAACATACAACATGGGATTCCTAATATCCTCTCTACCCTAACGGCCTTTTTAGCCTGATATCAGTAGAACGTAATCTTTGAAAATGGTTAGTGACATTTAACAGATTCGTAAAGTGATTCCAAGGAAAAGAGTCGAGAGATTGGCCCGCATAGAGATATTGCGACGGTAATATCGTACGGGCCGTTAAGTCCTGGACCCTCCCAGCCATGAAATGTCCCGTCATAACATCAGTCTCTCCCCTTTTACATTACCCCCCGTGCGCGCTCTACTTCATCTCCCTCGTTGAATTTGGCCACGCGATCCCTTCTCTGTAGCAGGGCAACCGCCAACATTACGTCGTCCCTACGGATGTCGGATACTTTGCCGCGTCGATTCACGCTTCTCCTAACGTCATAAGGTTCTAACGTTTAACACCAACCGAAAGAAGAGATGGGAGTCTCTTTTGCAAAACATCTGCTTAGCTTATCTGAAGCTTTACCTTCCATTTAGCTTCACGGCTCGTGAATTATGTAGATGTTTTATTTCTTCTCTTTTTATTTCCCTCTTTTCTTTCCTTCTTTGTTTGATTTTGTCTATTTTCTTTCTTTTCCCATTTTTCTTTTTTCTTTTTTTTTTCTTTTTTCTTTTTTCCATTTACTTTTATTTTTTTGTTATTTCAATGCGTGATTATTTTCAAATGAAATCAAAATGGATTCAAACATTAATTCTATATTATAAAATGAAAATAAAGAGAGAGGGAGAGAGGGGGACAGGGAGAGAAAGAGAGAGATGGATAAAATGAACTTGCCCCCATCTACGCTTATAATATAGGTATATTAAATAGATATTTTTATTTTAATATCATTTTCGTCGTATATTTATGAATACACAAAAGGTATCCGCGAAGAACAGCCCTGCGTTATTAGCGAAGATGACTCGACCAGTTTATGCTACCGTCGATGACTTTGCTAGGATGGCCTGGTCATTTCTACTAATTAAATCATTTTTATTATATTCTTTTATATTGCCATTAGTGTATTATCACAAATTAACGGTCAGTTGTTTGTAATTATAATACGCGGTAATATTTTAAACTTATTTCAAATTTAATTGACGTAGATAAGTATTATCAGTTAGACACGAATAATAAAGGTTAATTATTCATTGATAAGGACAAGGTATGTAAGATAACTGCAAATAACATGACGTACGACAAAAACTTAGAAATTTATGACTTGGATAAGTTTATTTACGATACGAAAAACCTATTTTACTATTTTTCATTTTAAATTGAATATTTTCATTAAGTAAACAATTAACGATACGTGATATCGAAATGATACGTGATATGAAGCCTGATACGAGATCGAAATAAATAAATAAATAAATAAATAAATAAATAAATAAAATTAATTAATTAATTAAATGAAATAAATTAATAATATAATTAACAATTAAATAAATAAAATTAAAGAATAATTGAAATTCTTCGATCCTCTGATTCACGTTTCCTCAATATTTAGAATAATATAATCCTGAATAGGACATATAGACGACTATTCCAATAAACAATTTACAGATGTGGTACTATAAACCGGATCAATATGGCAGAGATTACGAAATCAGATCGTTATGCAAAGTAGCAATAGGGAAACTCCAGAAGCAGTTAGAGGGTTGCTTGCTGCTCCTACCGCAACGATTCTCTCATAGGGAGGGTGTTGAAACGGACGCGAACGGGCGGGAAGGGAGATGTAGTATTTGGTGAATGGTGAACGAACGGATGACTCTTTGGGGATGACTTTTTTTTTTTATTTTTCTTTTGAAGATTTAGTCAAAGGAGAGGGTGAAAGTTTCTTGCTAGACTCGTAATCCACCAATCGGATGGACGTTTACGTTTGATCGAAAAATGAAATTTTATTATATACA